AAGAGACGAAGAAGGAGTGGCCAGAGAAGTAGGAGAAAAAGTATGCTGCTGGACTGGATGATTTGTATGGTTTCACTCAGCTCTGACATTCTGTGGTTCTGCAGAGCTGGGACCCAAGTCAGGTCTCAAAAGTGGAGCACAGGGATAGGCCACGAGAATAGAGAAGGGCATTCAAGTAATACTGTATCTGTCAAGGTCCCAGTGAGAAACACAGGATATACTCAAACTGAATAATTTGGGAAATTTCTGATAAAGAGGCTGTTTACAAAGATGTGGGGAGGGTTTAAGGAATCCAACAAAGCTGTAAGTATTCTGGCACTAGCCACAACAGGAGCCCTTTACCACCCAAGGTCTGAAGGGGGAAGGGGAGTCCATCTATATAGACAAGGCTGCCTGATAGATGTGGCCTCCTGGACCTGACCTCCTTCTCCCATGCCCTCCAATTTCCTGCCTAGACAGAAGCCAGAGAGCAAGGACCCCGTCGATGCAGTCTAACTAGATCATCCTCCTGGGGCACAGAGCAGGGTGGAGAGTGGATGTGGAGGGGCAAACCAAAGAGATCCAGAACAATTATCTTGGAAAATGAAAGTGTTTGGGTAAGATAGTGTATTAATTTCCTATTGTTGCTACAACAAATCAGCACAAACTTGGTGGCTTAAAGCAACACACATTTATGATCTTACAGTTCTTGGAGGTTGGAAGTCCAAAGTGGATCTCACAGGGAGGAGTTGGCAGGGTTGCATTCCTTTGGAGGCTCTGGGGAAGCATCCATTTCCTTCCCTGTTCTAGCTTTTAGAAGCCACCTACCTTCCTTGGCTCTGGTCCCTTCTTCCATCTTCAAAGCTAGAAATCATCACTCTGACGTCTGCTGCTGTAGTCACATCTTCTCTGACTCTTTTGCCTTCTCTTCCATCGTTTAAGGACCCTGTGATTACATTTGGCCCACCCAGCTAACCCAGGATTATCTCCCCATCTCAAGATACTTAATGTAATCATGCCTGGAAATTCCCCTTTGTTGTGTCAAGTGATATATTCACAGGTTCCAGGGATTAGGACGTGGACATCTTTAGGGACGAGGGCTTATATTTCTCCTACCCCAGAGAGTGAATAGGCCATTTTGACTGGAGTGAAGAGCTCCGTTGGAAAGTAATGAGAGAAAAAACAGGAAGTGTAGATTAAATCAAAATTATGGGAGTTTTGGATGCTCAACTGAGTCTGAATTTCATTCTGTAGACAAGAGGGAGCCATTGTAAGTTCTTAACCAGGAAAGTGGCTTATTAGCCATGTCAAGAAAGATGATCTGATTGTGGTGCTCTGGGTGGCTTACAGGGAAGAACAGCAGAAGAACAGAAACCTTTAAAGATGCAATTAGAGTAGTCCAGGCATGAAAGCGCAGCGTTTAAAACACGAGTGAAAGGGAGAGATGCAGTGAACGTGCTGTGCAAGAAGAACAGGCGGGAGATGCTGACCACCTGGATGTGGAAAGAAGAGGAAGAGTCTAAGGTTGGTCTGAGTTTTGAAAGTGGATTAATGGTATGTATGATCTCGAAGATCAAGAGGGAAAGTCTATTTCAAAGGAAGATGAGGAGTTGGGGGTTAGTTATAGAATGCTGGAATAGAAATACAAACAGAATCTTGTCAACTCTAAGATGCCATTGATTGTAAAATACACCATTGTTTTATGTACAACTAAGAAAAAAAATACTGTCAATTAATTTATGACATAATGCTTTCTTAAAAATATATGTGCACTTTGATAAGTTTTGACATTTGTATATTCCTGTGAAACCATCACCACAATCAGTGTAGTGCACGTATCTGTAACCCCCAAAGTTTTCTCCTGCCCCTTGTAATCCCCCATCTGCCCCTACCCAAGCACCTATTGATTTGCTTTCTTTTATGTAGATTAGTTTACATTGTCTAGAATTTTAGACAGATGAAATTATGCAGTATACATTCTTTTTCATCTGACTTCCTTCACAGAGTATGATTATTTGAGGTTCATCTATGTTGTTGTGTGTATTATAGTTCATTCCTTTTTATTCCTGGGCAGTATTCTACTCATGGCCAATTCATGTTGTTTTTAGTTTTGAGGTATTACAAATAAAGCTGTTATGAATAGACATAAACTAAAAAACCAAACCCGTTGCCGCTGAGTGGATTCCATCTCATAGCGACCCTATAGGACAGAGAACTGCTCCATAGGCTTTTTAAGGAGTGGCTGATGAATTTGAGCTGCTGACCTTTTGGTTAGCAGCCTGGGCTCTTAACCACTGCACATAAATTTTTAAAATCATATATCACTCTTAGGGATAAAAAGAGAAAATGTAAGTGAAATAAATTGGTTGATATTTCTAAAACTTTTTCAAGTTCAGAGTGTAACTGTTTGAAATCGTTTTTTGACTCAAAGTTATCAATGTCTGTTTTTTTTTTCCACATAATATCTCCTCTGTGCAATAAAGAGTGTTTGAAAGAAAAACCGTAAAAGAACTAAAAGCTGTTGAGCTGGACATTTAAGCCAGCTCCGTAATTATGTAGAACTAGCCTACTAACTGAAAGGTGGGCAGTTTGAAACCACCCAGTGGCTCCATGGGAGAAAGACCTGGCAGTTTGCTCCCATAAAGATCACACCCTAGAAAACCCTATGGGGTAGTTCTACTCTGTCACATGGCATTGCTATGAGTTGAAAATCGTCTCAATGGCACACAACAACAGCAACAAACAATAGCTTATCCTGAACCTTCCTTTGGGAGTGTTGCTAAACACGTCTGAGTCACCACCTCCTCCACTCCCTCACCACAATGGTTTGGTTCCTCAATTCTAAAATGTTCTACATTTGTCCCTGCGATTTTCTTCCTAATTGCTGACACCCAATCTGCTAGTTTTGAAGCTGGTGCTTTTGATGTTTTTTGGTGTTTTTGCATATGCAGGCAACGACAAGTACATCTTGACTGCTTCTGGGCCGACAGTGATTGTAGGACACCATCAATTGTAAAACACATCTCAATCCCAAAGTGTTAAAATGTAGGAAACTGTACATCATAGAATCCATTAAATAGATTAGTTTAGCCAATTCATTTGATGGATAAAGAAAGGCCTGATTGGTTAAGATCATTGTCCAGTGTCATAAAATAAGTTAGTGGAATCTGGGACCAGAACAAAGTGTCTGTGATCCATTTGGTTTCTCTGACTTTAGTGGGATGGGGCTTTTTTTTTTTTTTTTTAACTGGAGTATACCAATTGATGCTCAAAAGAAGGAGGGCTAATGAAGGGAAAGAGAGTTACATTGTATGTGAAAAGGATATCTAAACAGACAACTACAAACTTGAGCACTGTGAGCAGCTGAGTTAATAAGGGGAAGGGAACAGGGTTCTAATAGTCCTCAGTGGCCTACCTGCTCCCAGTCTCTTTGCATTCCACTCCATTCTTCATTCTTACCATTTCAGTTGCCTTATTAAAAAAACGGGACTGCTCAGATCATTTGTGACTCCCCATTTGCAACAGAATAAAGCCCAGGTTCCTTGGCAAGGTTTATAAGGATGGTCCTTCACAGATGTCCCTTCCTTGTCTTTAGTTCCTTCCTTTCTCCTCCCCTCATGAATCCTACCCTCTAGCCTCACCAAACTATTACTATTCCACCAACATTTCATGTACTTGCTTATCATTGTACCTTTATAGTGTTACCTTTTCCTGGGATGACCTGTTCCCATCCATGTCCATGGTATGACCTCTTCCTTCAAGGCTCAAATGCAAACTTTTTACCACAGTTTCCCTCAAACCTCCCCATCCCAGACTTCTGCTATAACACTTATGAGATGTTATTGTTGCTTTTTGTATGTCTGTTTCAATAAGTTATGATCTCCTTAGGGGAGAGGTTCGTATCTTGTTCATCTTTGTATTCCCATTTTCCAGAATGATGCCTGGATTTTAATACCTCCTAATGAAAAACACGGAGTCCTGGTAGTGCAGTGGTTAAGAGCTCAGCTCCTAACCAAAAGGTTGGCAGTTCAAATCCACCAGCTGCTGCTTGTAAACCCTATGAGGCAGTTCTGCTCTGTCCTGTATGGTCGCTGTGAGTTGGAATCAGCTCAGTGGCAATGGGTTTTTTTTTTTTTTTTGGTTTTTTTTTTTGGTTTGATGAGAAATACAATCAGTTAGGTTCATTATTATTTCCTGAATGCAATATTATCTTTCTAGGGAAGATCTGTAAAAATTCTCTGCAAGGAGGAAGAGATTGAGTAAAAAATTCACTTTGGGTGGAAATTTAGGAGTGATGTGGTATCAAAAGAAAGGTTGGAAGGAGAATGGACTATGGGAAGAAAGAATAATTATGGAGTATGGTTAAAGAAACTAAAAGGAAAGAGGGAAGAGAAAGAATGGGAGATGAGGAAAGAAGAAAAGAGAAAAGTGGAGGGAATGATTATGTGGCCAAGACTTTAGAATGTTTCTTGGTTTAATTGCAGGACAGTTACTGGACAATGTATTCTCACGTGGACATTCCAAACTGTCTTTCCGGAATTAATCCCATTTTGTATTTTTCACATCACTCCCTCCCTGAAAAGACAAGTATGCTTCTTACAACTGGCTTACAGTTAGCACATTGTTCTTCTCTGTTTTTCTGTGGAAAGCAGGGGGAGTAGAGTTATATGGTGGAAAGGCACTCACTACACTGGGAATCAAGGCTGGGCAGTCTCAGCTCTGCGACTTTTGGCAGGGCACTTGGCGCCACCTTCGCCTCAGAATCTGCATCTGTAAAATAAGAGTGATAATATCTGCCCAAGCTTCCAGCAAGAATTGTTGTAAAGATCAAAGTAAGTAGAATAATATATAGAAAACACCTTATAAGCTGTCAGGTTGCTATGCAAATGAAAGTAATATTACCTTGTAGTTGAACTAATTGGTCTAGTAAAGAGACTGCGTTGGCAGATAGCATAGCCCTGTGGCCTACTGATAGGTCCTATTTACAGATAAGAGATGACAGTGTTTCTTCTTATTGGTAGTATTCTGAAGTCTCAAGAAGCTGGCCCATTTAAATGTTCACGGCCCATGAGAAAGACGTCTAAGAAGCCATGGCACTCCCTTTTCAAAAAGAGTTGGAGAAATACAAGAACATTGATGAAGACGAGCTTCTTGGCAAACTCTCAGAAGAGGAACTGAAGCAGTTGGAAAATGTTCTTGATGACCTAGATCCTGAGGTTAGTGACATGGAATGGAAGCGGGGTGGTTAATGATAGTGCAGGATGAATGGCGGGGCTTGGTCCTTAAGCAGTAGCGTGGAATCCATGGCTCCAAAGGGAAATTCTGTGTCCTTCCCCTGACTGGTTCTGAGTCACTTAACTCTTATGTGCTCGCTGAGAACTTCAGTAGCCACTTCTACAGTGTGACATGGCAGCTGTAACTCTCAAAAACCAATTTCATGTAAATGGAGAAAAATGTTTTCCATTAGTTGAGGAAGGGCTAGTCTGACAGGGAAGAAAGAGGGAAAGGAACAGATCTTAAGAGATTTCTTCTATGAGTCGCATACTCTGCCCAGCACAGCAGCCCTTGAGGGGTATTATCCCCACAGTATAAAATCCCACATAATATCCCACACTAGTAAATGTCAGAGATGGTATTTAAACCAGGCCTTTAGCCCCAAATGCAGATCTTTTTTACATTTCATTTCTTCCAAATGCATGCTGCTGTCATTGTCAGCCCCTGACTAATGGTTATCCCATGCACAACAGGATCGGTCCATTGTGATCTATAGGGTTTTCACGGGCTGATTTTCAGAAGTAGATTGCCAGGCCTTTCTTCCTAGACTGTCTTAGTCTGGAACCTCCACTGAAACCTGTTTAGCAACACACAGGCCTTCACTGACAGACAAGTCGGGGCTGCTCTTGAGGTCCATTGTCTGGGAATCAAACCTGGGCCTCCCAGATGGAGGCCAGGAATTCAACCACTGAGCTATCACTGCCCTCATTTTCAAATGCATAAGTAACTTGAAATCTTTGGTGGTTCGACAACAGTGGATAGATTAGAATGACTGTAATAATAATATTAAGTAAATTAAAATGGGGCTTCTCATGTTTTTTGAGTTCTTGAAAAGCTAAGTAACTTGTTATCTTGTTCGTTTAGCAAGTACTTTCTTCAGCCTTGATGATGTTATCTTAAATTTAGAATCAGAAACATCCAAAATAGTGATTATACTATAAATTAAAATGTCACTAAAATAAAACTATTTATATGATATTCTGATATGCCAGATACTTTGGATTTTGTATTCAAGTTGCTTTTAAAAAATACAAGGCTTCTGTTTTTATTTTTTAAATTTAGGGAAGGAATCTCAAAGCGTAATCAGGCAGGTGTTAATATCTAATATTCACTTACCTGCTTGGATGTTTCCCCAGGAGTGGGGTTAGAAATAAGAAACTGTAGCCATATTGGCAAAGTTCCTAGGTGGCGCAAATGGTTAAGCACTCAGCTACTAACCAAAAGATTGGCAGTTCAGATCTACCCAGAGACTCCTTGGGAGAAAGCCTGACAGTCTATTTCCAAAAGATCACAGCCGTTGAAAATTCTGTGGAGCACAGTTCTACTTCGCATCACATGGGGTCACCATGAGTCAGAATTGACTCAACGGCAGCTGGTTACACATATTGGCTACTTATCAGAGTCTCCATATGCCTGCCTGGGAGTATTGTGTGTGCTGTGGTGGCCAAACCTGAGTGTGATCTGCAAGGAAAGGCTGTAAAGGATGGCTGGCCTTTTGCCACCAAATTCAAGAAGGTAGCTGCCGAAGACTCAGGCTGCACCAGCCGTCCATATTCTGAGAACCTTGACAGCCCTCCTCTCAGCACAAGGTATTAGATCAGGTAGGGCCCGAGAGGTCTGTGAGACCGCAGCCCACAACTCACCTCCACAGGTGACCTAAGCAGCTATCCTTCTCCCTGCTTCCCCAATATACAGAAAATGGGACGAGGTATCGGTCAAACATACACCCTTCTTGTCCTGCCTACACCTCTTTCTTCTCAGAGTGCACTGCTGCCAGCTGGATTCCGGCAGAAAGACCAGACACAGAAAACAGCCACCGGCCCCTTTGACCGCGAGCACCTTCTCATGTACCTGGAGAAGGAGGCTTTGAAACAGAAAGACAGGGAAGACTTTGTGCCCTTCACCGGGGAAAAGAAAGGTGAGGATCACAGGCAGTACATCTTGGGACAAAGGTACTCTTAAGTATTGTCCCAGAGGGTCCAGCAAGGGAACTGACCTGGAAACAGGAAATAAATACTGGATTCAGTATGAAAAAGAATCGTGGAAGAATATGTAGGCTAACTAAAGAATACTTAGGGTGTGATGATACTCAGGTTTGTTCTGTGAAAATCTCGAACCCCAAAGAAATGCTTTTGAAAGTGTGAAGTCATGCCTTAAAGAGGGTTCCATAGACACTGGTGTGTTTCTCTTGGCTGTACTTTTCCAGCTGCACAGGTCCCCTCAAGGACTCTCTGCTCCATGTCTAGGAAGGCACTGGTACCAGATCCCTAACCTTAGATGCTGGGATTAGAGACCACTGCAGTCATTCACTCATTCATCCAGCACTTACAGAGTAGCTTTTCTGTGCAGAGCCATGTCCAGGTGCTGGAACTACGAGTGAACAAGCCTTGCCCTGCCCTCAAGGAGGCTGTGGTCCAGTGAGAGAAACACTGTGGCAGAGCTGGGTGTGGCTCTGAGGAGCAAGGAGCTGTTCTCCGTCCTAGGACCAAGCTCAGAACCAAGACAAGGGAGGTGCTGTTCCTTAGGTCCTGACTCCGAGTTCCCCTTTGGAGGAAGAATGGATAGCAGTAGCCCGTGGAGGCTCCTCAGCTCCAGGCAATGACTTGAGCTAATAGATACTAATAGAATTGTTGATGACCTCACGGCAACGACAGTCTTTTTAAAACACAGATCAGGTCATGTCACTGTCCTGCCTGAAGGTGGCTTCAGAGTCCCCACCCACCTCTCTGACTTTATCGCTCCCTTCCTCCTCGCTGCATCTCAGCCCCACTGTCTTTGTTCAGTTCCCCAAACCCACCAAGTTCTTAGATCTCAGCTTAAACATCAGGACCTCCAGCTTTCCCTGACCTGTCTGTCTTCTTTCCATCATGATACCTATTTATTGCTTTCACAACACTATCACAATGTTCATTATTTTGTTCATTTTCTTTGTTTTTTGTGTGTTTTCCCCATTAGACAGTGATCTCCACCTGGGTAGGACTGTGTCTGTCTTGTATCCTGGTACAGGAAAGGTACTCAATATACATGGGCTTGGGCAAATGCTGTACCATGGCCACGGGGAGCAGAAGCAGTGGCCTTTCAGTTGTCAGGAGTCAGAGCGCTGATGCCATCTTTTACTAACATCCAGGCTCTCCTGTCAGTTGTCACATTCGATGGACCATACACCATTGAGAATTTCATTTTATTTAAAAAGTGAAGTTAAATGATGATGAATTGGGCAAATAACCAAGGATTACTGTGGAAATATGGAGCTGTTTCCATGGCAGCATCATTACTATTGAACTAATTTAATTGTAAAAGAAAAAAGTAAATTATAATGTCAAATCTGCACTAAAACCCTGGTTAACATGGAGTGTCAGGTGATGACAGAATAATAAGGGGGTAGCTGGTGTCTTTTATACTCAGAGTAGAAGTCTGAGGAGAGGATCTGGTAAATCATCTCTTGATACAGATTCATCGACAGATGGTCCGTGGGGGAGTTAGGAATCCAGGAACGGTCTGAGTAGTAAAGGGAGGTTTATAGGGAGTACACAGTTGCACACTGTAGCTTAGGAGAAGATTGAGAAGCAGCACAATTGAATACAATTAGCAGAGAACAAGTTTTCCATACAGCAGAGGGATCAGAGTGAGAAGGAGTCTGCAGTACCCCGGGAAGGACCAGAGAGAGGATCTAGCAGTCGAGGGAGGTGATCATGAGCACTCAGGAGAAGAGACCACACAACCTGTCATGAATGCTCTGTGCCATGGGGCCAGGTTGCTGGACTAGACTTAACTCTCCAGCGCAGCTTTATCCACTTACAGCCTGTGGTTTAGTTGGACCCGGGAATGGATTCCCATCAGTCATTGCCCTGCATACTGATAGCTGTTGGGCCACCTTGGCACCCAGTGTTCCTAGTAATCCTAAACCTCCTGGGGAGGAGGGGCTCATGCAGACCCTAGATGCAGGCCCAGGGCTGTTTGGGCCTAGAATTCCAGGGTCCAGGTCCTTTAGAAGGAGGCCTGTACTCTGGATAGGAATGTCTCTTCGGTCCCATGACTTCTCCCTCAGGTGACTGGAGCAGAACCCTTTAAAGTGCAGGTACCCCTCTTGCCCAGGTCAAAGGGCAAGACTGCCAGTGGTAGGGAGGTAGAAGCCACATGTTTCCTCTGTTTTAGGACTGTCATCTCCTCAGATCTCTGCATTGTAGAAATGCAGGCTTCCTTCTCCAGAGGTTCTCATAGTGGGTTAGTAGTATTGGCATCCTCCCAACAATTAAGGGACCCCAGTTGGACACTCAGTGGCTTAATGATGTGGCTCTTAATGGCCAGAGCTGCATTCTCTGGACAGTCCACTTACCCTAGCAATAAGACAGTAGCATACAACTATTTCTGTTTTTCTTCTGATTTAAAGGGAGAGTCTTTATCCCCAAAGAAAAGCCTGTAGAAACTCACAAAGAAGAAGAAGTGACTCTCGACCCAGAACTGGAAGAAGCTTTGGCTAGTGCCTCTGACACTGAACTCTACGACCTTGCAGGTTAGTCCTTGGCTCTGGGAAAGTTTCCTGTCTGGCTTCATGACCTCCAGGCACGCACTTGTACCCATGCCAGGAGCCTTTGGGCATCTCTATAACTATCAGTTCTTATTGAAATTCCATGTTGACTTTAGCCATTAAACTAGTTTCACGGAGTCAACTCTGACTCATGGTGACCCCGTGTGTGTAAGAGTAGAACTGTGCCCCATAAGGTTTTTAGTAGTTGATTTGTTGGAAGTAGATCACCAGACCTTTCTTTCAAGGCACCTCTGTGTGGACCATGAGAACTTAAAAAAAAAAAAAAAAAAACAGCTCTTATGCTTTATAAGGGGCTTTTACATTGGCATTTTATCACATTTTATCATCACAAAATTTCCCTGAAGTGCTTGCTCTTCCCCAGAGTTGTTGCCTATTCCAGTGTGATTCACACTGAGAGGTCTGTCACTGTAAACAGGAAGGGGGTAATTTACTGTCACAGTCGCCCGAAGGTAAATCCATGTTCAGTGCAATCTGCTCATTTTGTTCTGGTTTTCTTAACAATAGCAACAAAATAGTAATAATGATCAGTTTATTTATTTATTTATAAATAAATTATTTATAACAAGATAGTAATGATATTTATTTATAAATTATTTAAATTGATTATACATGTAGATAGAAAAAACTCAAATAGTACAAAAGAATATGTAATGAAAGATAAGTTTTCTCACTGTAATTAACCTAGGCCTTCTCCCCTTTCTTGTATGTCCTTCAAGGAAGATTCCATGCATGTACCAGCATGTTTGTGCATTCATGTTTTCCTCCCAATGGGACATTTGCTTCTACCTGCCACAGGGATATTAGGTCACCACAAGGATAAAGGTGCTTTTAAAATCATTCCACAGCTTTAGCAAGAATTCCCACCTTTTTGTTCTATTTGAAGAAACACGTAATCATGATAAATCTCCTTCCTCCCAGGAGCACCAGCTATGCCTTACTCTAACAGCATGCTACCATCTTTACCTGCATTTTAATTCCTTCTGTTACATCAGGGTCTATATTAAGTTCACATATTGGAGACCCTCTGAGAGGTCCCTGCAGGAATTGAGGCACCTGGTGCAGCAGTGAAAAAGATGCCTATGGTGGCTGCTTTTCTAGATTTTGTGGTTACAGTACCACCACTACCAGTTACCATCAAGCCAGTCCGACTCATGGTGACCCCATGCGTTTCAGGTAGAATTGCAGATACGGTTTTCCATGGCTGTGACCTTTAGGAAGCAGATCTCTGGATCTTTCTTCCTAGGTGCCTCTGGGTGGATTTGAACCACCACCCTTTCGGTTAATAACAAAGGGCTTAATCGTTTGCACCACCAGGGACTCTTAGTTACTGTGCGAGGATCCTGTTTTGGTTACTGCTCCTCCCAAGGGTTGCCTCATGGCTCTGCTGGAAGTAACCACAGGCAGAATGCAGGGCTGGGCTTGAATTCCCAGGAAATTTCTGATAAAAGAGAAAGAAAGAATAATGCCAATCATTTAGCAGATACTAAATCCAGAAATTCCTACAGTGAAACCAAGGGAATCATCCCAATAGACATATGTCGGTTTCATCCATGCTCAGCCTCCCTCCCTCGCTGGGTGCTCCCTCGGAACCCAGCAGGAAGCTAGGCTGCATCTTCTCAAGTGGATATTTCAGAAGATTGAGAGCGTCCGTGAGTGGATGGACTGATAGCTGTTGAGGTTTAGATAAGAAAGAGTACCAGTGCATGGCCCACGTTATCGTTATTGTGGCAGAGAGAGACGTTCATCAAGGGGGTGGCAGTTGACCTCCAAGACAGAGCCTCCCAGACTGTGGCCATATCTTGATGTGATCACCACTACCCAGAAGCTAGTTCTCAGCTCTGCTGGTCTAGAGATTTGATCTTGTGAGCGCATATAGGAACTATCAGATTAGGAGGGTGGAGGAAGTGAGGTGATAGAGACTGACTCCACCAGCCAGATTTATAGGAAATAGATAAAACAAAAAGTAAAACTTGGCAATGGGAGCCAAATTATAATTAGGAGGCTGCTTGGTATGGATGGAGCCAGAGCAAGACAAGGTGGTCTCAATAGCCTGTTTATCGAACAGAGTACCCTCTTCCTAGACAATGCCAGAGACACACTGACAACTTCTTGTTTTATTTACTTAACAAGAATTTGTAAAACACTTAGTGCCTGGCACATAGCAATTCACTTAATCCTTGTAATAGGTAAAGTACAAATATTATCCCTATTTTTCAAGATAAGGAAGCTGAGGCTCAGAGGCATTCAGTAACTTCCCAGTCACACAGCTAATATATGACAGAGTCAGAATTCAAACTCAGGCCGACGGCTCCGAGCCCACTCTTCTTCCCTACACTTGCTGGCTGTTTGTCCTTCCTGGTGCTGTGCTGGCTGCCTCCCTCCCTCCCTGTGGTCCAGTATGTAGAGCACAGGAGAGCTGATGAGACTCTCTGAGGAGCTCCTCTGCCACCGTTACAGATTATTGTCTAGTCTGTGTCCTTCTCCAGATGGCCTGTCTCACCTGTGATTTCATTAGCAAAGGGAAATCTGCCGGCAGTTGCCATCTCAGCCTGCCCAGCATTCCTTCTCCCTCTGTTGCTTCCTGTATACTATGCTGCCTCCTGGTGCAAAAGTTATGATATGCTTATCTGACCTTAGGAGCCCTGGTGGCGCAGTGGTTAAGAGTTCTGGCTGCTAACCAAAAGGTCGGCAGTTTGAATCCACCAGCCGCTCCTTGGAAACCATATGGGGCAGTTCTGCTCTGTCGTGATGAGTTGGAATCGACTTGACAGCAGGGTTTGGTTTTGGTTTTTGGATCTGACCTTAAGGAGCCCCAGTGATGCAGAGGTTAAGCTCTCAGCTGCTAACCAGAAGGTCAGGGGTTTAAACCCACCAGCTTCTCCAGAGGGGGAAGATGTGGCAGTCTGCATCCATAAAGATTTACAGCCTTGGAAACCCTATGGGACAGTTCTGTTCTGTCCTATAGGATAGCTATGATTCAAGATCAACTAGACGACAATGAGTTTGGTTTGGGTTTTGATATCTGAACTTACATTGTCCTGCAGTACTCTAGATGGAGAAAGGACAAATCCTTCTGGCCTACAGAGTTGGGAGAGATGGGGAGCCTGACACTGAAAGAGGCTTATGATCTTTCTGCTCTTTGCAAGATACAGCAGTATCTACAATGTTAGATATTAAAATGTCCTAGGATTCAGTCCCACCCTCTCATTTACAGCTGAGAAAACTGAGGGGTTGAGTCTACTTAACTGGGAAGGCTAAGCAGGTTTTTTGTAGTTTGGAGAGATAATTAAATAACCTTTGTTCCTCAGATCCTAAATGGTTTCACATATGTAGACAAGGTTACTGGCAATCTTGGGAAGAGGTTTTTGTTTTGTTTTGTTTTTTATGAGCTTATTCAATACTATGCATCACCCACACACTTTGCCAGAAAAGGGGTTTTCTTAGTCATCTAGTGCTGCTCTCATGGAAATACCACAAGTGGATGACTTTAACAAAGAGAAATTTATTCTGTCCCAGTCTAGTAAGTTACAAGTCCAAATTCAGGGTGTCAGCTCCAGGGGAAGGCTTTCTCTCTGTCGGCTCTGGAGGAAAGTTCTTGTCATCAATCTTCCCCTGGACTAGGAGCTTCTCTGCGCAGGAACCTCAAGTCCAAAGGATGCTCTCTGCTTCTGGTGCTGCTTTCTTGGTGGCATGAGGTCCCCAGCTCTGCTTGCTTCGCTTTCCTTTTATCTCTTGTAAGATATAAGGTGGTGCAGGCCCCACCCTAGGGAAACTCCTTTTACATTGGATCAGGGATGTTAGTTTAGTAAGGGTGTTATAATCCTACCCTAATCCTCTTTAACGTAAAATTACAATCACAAAATGGAGGACAACCACACAATACTGGGAATCATGGTCCAGCCAAACTGATACACAAATTTTCTGGGGGACATAATTCAGTCCATGACAGAGGGGCATCTGGAGACTTCATCTTTACGAAGTGGGCTTTCATTTTTATGACATAAAGAATTGTTCTTCAAGGGCAAATTAAGAACGTGGACATTCTAACATGCTTTCCTAATGTTAATGTTCATTGACAATTACTTCTGTTTTCAGCTGTTCTTGGAGTACACAATTTGCTCAACAATCCAAAGTTCGATGAAGAAACGGCTGGCACTAAAAGTGGCAAAGGGCCTGTAAGAAGTAAGTTGATGTGGAATTTGTGGGTTTGTAAAACTTCTGAGCCTTCAGGTGTTGTGATAGGAGAACGGCCTGTTGGCAGGGCCTCCTGGTGAATCCTGCAGGCTTTGAAGGTGGATTTTGTCAGTTCATCAGGCGTCACTGGGCTCTGCCAAGCAAACCAGAACAGAGTAGCTGATAATGGGAGCTCTGTCTGGCAGGGTAACTAGTCCCAATCATTCGTCTGGAGCATGCTTTCTTGGTAGGCCGGTTCACTCAGTAGATAAGATTGCTAACAAAAAGGTTTCAAAGTCAGCACAGAATGCAAATAGATAATTACATGTTCCTGAGGATGTTTTAATTAACTGTGGTAGCTTGAATAAGTTCCCTCTCTATTCTAGTGTTGTTTTTGTTTGTTTGTTTCAATAATGGATGCTTGACATTAGAATTTGAAAACTCACTTTCCCCAGAGAGCATGAAAGACACACTAGTGTGGACTTGCTGGCACAGAAAGTTCCTGACCACTATCTGTCAACATTTCCTGGGGGAAATGTACAATTAATTAGATGCTGTCATTCACTCATGCATCTGTCACCTATTAAATATCTACTGTGTGTCAGTAATGTTCCAGGCTTAGGTACAAAGATAGAAGAGGGTCCCAACTCAAAAGCAGCTTATCTGTTGGTGGTAGGGACAGACCAGTGATCAGATCATTTCAGTACAATGTGATGCAGGCTCTCTGAGGACACACACAGAATGAACTTTTCTTAGGTTAATTATATTCTATTCTCTGTGTTGGAGACTTGGGAGATGCTTTCTAGTTTCAGCAGCGTGTTTATGAACCATCATTTGCAGTGGATAATTTACCCAGATAATGAGTAATATTCCTTTTATATTTTTTTTTCTGGTTTCATATACATTTATAGACTTGTGGTAGTATATACTTGTGGTAGAAAGGACAAACGGTTCCCATTTCCTCCCAACACTGCTTATTGTCAGTTTTTAATTTTTTGCTCATTTAACAGGTAAAAAATGTGCCTCCCTTTTAGCTTCATTGTCAAAGGGTAATATTCGGACTGTTAATAAGTTCTCTATTAAAAGTCTTATGCATAATCTTCTGGACTTTCATATGTACACATACATAGACATATCTAACTTTTTTTCAAATCGTGGATCTCTTATCAGTACATGTAGGTTATCCTCATTCTTTTAATGAATACATAGTGTTTTATTATGTGATTATGCTGTGATTTATTTAACCATTTTCACATTGATGGACATTTTGTTTATTTAAAAACATTAAATTTAATTTACAAAGCAAAAAAAATATGTCAGTGAACATACCTGAATACCTGTCTTTACGTATTCATGCTATTTTTCCTATAGGTTGGGCTTCTAGATATAAAACTTCTGGGTTGTAGATTATGCGTGTTTTAGATTTTGATATATAGTGACAGATTACTCTCCCCAAAAGTGTACTGCTTTACATTCCCATCAGCAGTGTATGAGGATGCTTTTTTCTCCACATTGTTGCCAAATCTCAACATTGTCTCTTTTTACATTTTTTTATAATTGAATGGGGAGGGGTAGTATCTCATTGTTTTATTTCAAAGTTTACTTTTTAAATTTATTGGTTAAAGGGCAGGGGTTCTAACGATCATATCATGTATTCATTTTTAATTGGGTTGTCTCTTACTGATTTGTAGGGACTCTGTGTATATTGACACAGTAGCCCTTGTATGTTATGTATGTTGCAAATATTTTCTGTTTACTGCTGTTGAGAATTCTTCATTCTTCTTTTTATCTCTTTCTGTTACCTTCCTCAAAACTATAGCTCTCAAATGGAAATCAGAGGAGGATGGGTATGATAAAGAAACCAGAAGTTTGGGGATGAAGAGACTTGTATGGTTTCTTTTTTGGAACTCAAGTCCTGTGCCTGTCTGGTTGTTACAATCAGAGCGAGGCCCATATGGAGCAGCAATAACTGCCCATAAATGCTCTTGTTGGGGTTGAGGTTTGCTGTAGAGCCTCTTGCACTTTTGGATCCAGACACTGTCAGCCACTGACACTTCCATTGTGGTTGAGAAACATCAGGCTTCCAAACTGTAGCTCAGAGCCACACCACTCCTTTGTTTGCTTAGTAGAGGGTAAAGCTTACAGTCATTATTCATATCAAATATATAAAAGAAATGTCACTTTAGGGGAAGTCATCTCTGATTTTGATAGGAGGGCCCTTACCTTTTCTTTTTAAAATTACCACTTGTGTTTTAGATGTGGTCAAAGGTGAAAAGGTCAAGCCAATATTTGAGGAACCACCCAATCCCACAAATGTGGAAGTAAGTCTGCAGCAGATGAAAGCCAATGATCCTAACCTACAAGAAGTCAACCTCAACAACATTAAGGTATTTCACTATGCTTGTGATGGTTGCCAGTCACTTGATTTACCATGAGGTCAGAAGACTGACTGGAGATGACGGATTGCCTGTTTTCTTTTAGATGCACACCTGCTGGCAGTCATTTGTAGTCCCTGGTTTTGAGGCAGGGTGGTCTATTCAAAAGAAGAAGTGGGTTTAAAAAAGAATGAGTTCTAGAATTATTTTAAAAGAGCCACATTACTTGAGTTAAACATAGTGTATTAGTTATCTTTTGCTGAGTAAAAAATTGCCCCAACAGTCAAAGGCTTAAAGCAGCAAACATTTATTATCTCACACAGTTTTTGAGAGTCAGGAGTCCGGGAGTGACTTAGCTGGGTGATTGTGTTGATTCCTTCCTTATCAGTAGCTCGGTGTGTTTCTTGGATTCTTGGCATACCTCAGCTGGTACGTGATCCACCTCGCATGGTGTCTTTCTTTCCCCTGTGTGTCTCTGTGTCTATTCTCGTCTTTTTATAACTCAAATGATTAGGTTTAGGATCTGCCCCACACACAGGTATGGCCTCATTAACATAACAAGAAAAAGCCTTGTTTCCAAACAAGGTCATATTTAGAGGGACAGGGTTAGAATTTCAACATGTATTTTGGGGGACACAATTCAATTTATAACAGCATCCTTTTCTCTGGTTCTTACTAAAGGTGTTCATTTTCTTTGCTTTATACTTGTAAGTGGAAAGACTCTTAAATCCTCAAAAATGACTTATTTTTTATAGAAGCCTTTAGAATGGGAGATCTAACACACATTGGTGATTGCTAAGGAAATGATTTTGATAAAAGGGCTATTGTGGTTGACTGTCAAAGTTATTCTTAGTAAATATTATATTCCTTATATTTCTTAAATTCTCAACTTTTATTTTTCTTAAAAAGCTTATTTGTATATGTGTTTTTTTTTTTTTAAAGGAAACTCTAGGGAGTTTTCCATTTCACCCTTTTAAATTTATTACAGAGTTTAATATCACTATTTTTTTTTTACCTTGTTTTCTTTTTGCTGCTTTCTGAAGACAGCAGTCTTCAATACCAGTAGTTCCTACATTTCTTATTTCTTTCTCTTTTATGAAGATCTTTGGAATGTAACTTCATAATGTTATTAAGAGGGGAGTTTAGACTATAGGTTACAAATCCTATTATAAAATCATTTGGATATTTTACGGTTGTGCTAAATACTGCTTTCATAGGACTTCTCTTGTCAGTTCCTGTCTCTCTAGGACCTTACAGAGTTTAAACTGATACATTTGCCCTGTTAATTTCTTTTTATAAAAGTTTCTTTTCATAAGGAAACTGGTTCATGATGCTTTAATTCATCCATCTGCGAGTGCTTTCTTGCCCCGTCTTAGTACAGATTCCGTTCTTCTTCATATTCTTTCTCTAAAAAAGGCTTGCTCCAAAAAATGTCTGCTGGGTAAAGAATGATGGTTATATTAACCCCCCAAACACTTGCCAGTGTACATTTTTAAACTATTGAGAGTCAGGTACCAGAAGAATATATTATTATTTCAGGAATTTGATTATTGTTTCTCAATTCTTAAATGTCATCTTGTTGATAAATTACATAGCTGAAATTTTAAAAAATAATGCCTAGGCATTTCCAATATTTGGTAATTTTGTGGATTTGCATTGATATTATTAAAATGAGTCACATCGCAGGAAACATTTTAGTTATAAGAAGAAAAAATGATCCCCGCATTCCATATCTAAAAACTCATTGTCCCCAATTTTTCATAACAAGAATAGGTGAGGATAAAAGAAAATAAAGCTTAGAAAAATAAAGGTTCATAATTTTTCTGGTTTTTAAGTTTTAGTTTAATTTCATATTTCTAGACAGGTTTGGGAATTGGTTGTTTATAACTCTAAAAATATTTTATTCAAATGAAACATGAAGTTTATTGAACTGAGTTTTGAGATTGGTCCAAAGTATTTGGAACTACGCATTGATTGAAAAGTAGAGAAGAGAAAGCAGCAGCATTGAATTGGACATTGCATTATATTTGTGAGTGATAGTTAAAGTATTTAACAATCAGTATGGCATGGGCACTGATCAATCGAAGTGGACCCAGGCCACAGGGTTAGACCAGGTTCTGGACTCTGCCGTGCCAGCATTAACTCTTTAGTTACTGAATCATGGGAGGTCTGAGCAGTCTGGGAGATTGTCTGGGGCATCCAGGGGTAGTCATTGAATGGTAGGGTGGGGGGATCTCAGGACAATGCTGTTTACTATCTGTTATGGAAATATTTTACTATTTTAACAGCCAGTACATGTACCAGTGTATAGTTGCTGAATACCAGTCCTGGTTATATTTATCTTGGGTCTTATTCCTGGGGGAAAGTAAATTTAATCAGAGGGGGATGAAGATAAAGAATTTGAGACCGAGATAAGTGTTGCCTCTCCCATAAAGTTTCCCATGATTTCCCAACCATAATTCAATTTTCCCCTCCATTACACTTGCATTTGATACCCCAGGTGCCACACACCGCTAGCATTAGAGCTGCGTATGTCTTTATTCCCCCCATACCATAAAATCTTGGAGGGTAGAGACTGTCTACCCAAGCACAGGGCCCTGTTCGTGGTAGGTGTTTAATGTGGAATGACAGTGAATAATGAATGAGACCTGGGGACATTTGCAGACCTTTCAGTGCTTGTGGCTCTGCTTCTTCATGTCTAATTTCAATTTAGATGGACAGTTTTCCTTTTCCCTGATAAAAGGGTATGGCTAGCACTACTGTTAAGTTTATAAGAAATAATTAGAACACATTTTGGCTTGCACGTGGAAATATGGAGAAAGAAGGAGAAACAGTATAGAATGCAGGAAGAAGGGGAAGGAAAAAGATTCTCCATAGGTTACTGGCCAAGAGAAGAAATATATTCATATATAGAGGCAACATTGTCTCATGTCAGTTTTGGCCCATTTCCTAGCATCTAATATTAATATATCACTTTGAGGACTGAGGTGCGCCTGACCATCATATTTTTAATCCTCTGATTTGAATTATGATGTTGGCAAAGAATATTGAATATACCACGGACTTCCAGCAGAATGAACAAATCTGTCTTGGAAGAAGTACAGCCAGAATGCTCCTTAGAAACAAGGATGGTGAGACTTCATGTCACATGCTTTGGACATGTTATCAGGAGGGACCAGTCCCTGGAGAAGGACATCAGGCTTGGTAAAGTAGAGGGTCGGCAAAAAAGAGGAGGACCCCCAATGAGATGGATTGACACAGTGGCTGCAACAGTGGGCTCAAACATAGCAAGGATTGTGAGGATGGCGCAGGACTGAGCGGTGTTTTGTTCTGTTGTGCACGGGGTTGCTATGAGTTGGACTGACTTGATGGCGCTCAATAACAACAACAATATTAATAATAGCTGACTTTTATTGAGTACTCACTATTTGTCATATCCTTTGCTAAATACTGGGCATGCAGTATCCCATTTAATCCGTAATGGAACTTAAAGAAGTTATGTTACCCTAGGTCACAGAGCTAGTCCATAGTGTAACCAGGACTATGTCCAAGTGTAGCTGTGCCCCAGATTGCCTCTCATCCCAGTAGTTGGTACTGTGCTAAGTGGTGTGGAAGAGGCAGTGCAAAGATAAGTAAGATTCATTCGGAGTCTTTACTCTGAAAAACTTACATTAGCTTATTAACTTATGTTACCACAACATGATGTGGTAAGCCCCCCAAATGTTATGGAATTGTGGGTAAGGAAACTTTTAATGCTGCCTAGGAGAGGCAGAGGAGGTGATATTTCAGATGGATCTTGAAAGATGAGTGGGAATTAATCAGCGAAAAGGGCAAAGGAAACCCAGGCAAAGGGAACACACATATAAAGGTGTGAGGGAGGGAAAGATAATGGTGTTAAAGAATGACAAGTACATCAGTCTGGGTTGGAAGACAGAAAACAAAAGAGAAAAGAGGGAAACAGTGCGTCTGAATAATTTCTTGGGTAGGGAAACAAAGGCAATGCCAGAATGTTAACATAGCGCTAGATTCCCTTACTGGACACTAAGTGGCGCTACTGGCTCAGCTTAGATGCTAGAGGCTTTTTTTTATTACTCATAGTGTACTGAATCAGAATCCACTGGTGGGTTTGGATCATGCTGTCAGCTATCTAAACATATAAGTTATTTAAAAGCCATGAGTTTTTAATTTGGGATTGGGGATGCTGCAGAATGGTCCCTCAACTATTTGTGCCTTTCCCATCTTAGAACATTCCAGTACCAACCCTGAAGGAATTTGCAAAAGTTCTGGAGACCAACACTCACGTAGAGAAGTTCAGCCTGGCCGCAACCCGCAGCAACGACCCTGTGGCAATTGTGAGTAAAATTCTTAGAAATACGTGAAAATATTTAATTCATTAGAAATTATTTTTAATTTGTTTTATCAGTTAACAGTCTCAGATCTGGTAAATTTATGTTCTACATGGTTAATAAACTGAATTAGTTATAAGGAGACGGTAAAACTTTAGAGCCTAGCTGCCAGGCACTTCAGGTTAACAAGAATTTTATCAACACTAGACTTTTAGGAGGAAGGTTAGATTAGGCATTTAGTTAAATAAATATTTAGGTTTTGTTCTGCACTTAGCAAAAATTTCCTGAAATTTTTGTATCTACAATTACATTCTGTAACAGTAGTAGATATTATAATGACCCTGAAATCCTACAGGAACTTGACACAGATAAGAAATGTTAAAGTATATTTTATTTTAGCCTTTGAAATGGATTAATGTGTTTCAAAAATATTTTAAACAACTGAATTTTGAAACGTGTTTCTTTTGACACGTGTTAATCAGGAAATGAAAAAATAACCAAAAACCCTATTCCTTCTGGGCATTTTAGATAATTCAGCTAAATAAGGAAGTCCCTTGACCCAAGCAAATACTACTACATTCACCATCACCATCATCATCATGTTGTTCTTCTTGTGAATAACTAACATTTATTGAGCAATTAGTAAGTGCCAGCACTGAATTCTGTGCTTTATCTATATCATCTCACCTAATCCTCACTAATACTGTGAGGCAGATACTGTTTGTACAAACTAGTACTAAGATAAGGAGCCCTGGTGGTGCAATGGTTAAACACTTGGCTGCTAACCAAAAGGTTGCCAGTTCAAACCTACCAGTGGCTCCACAGGAGAAAAGACCTGACAATCTGCCCCCATAGAGATTACAGCTTAGGAAACCCTATGGGGCAGTTCTACTCTTTCATATAGGATTACTATGAAACAGAATCGGCTTGACAGCACACAACAGTACTAATATAAGGAGCCCTGGTAGCACAACAGTTAAGTACTCTGTTGCTAACCACAAGGTTGGCGGTTTGAATCCACCCAGTGGCTTCATGGGAGAAAGGCCTGGCAATCTGCAACCATAAAGATTACAGTCTAGAAAACCCTACGGGGCAGTTGTGTTCTGCCACAAGGGTTGTTATGAGTTAATCTTGACTCGACGGCACCCAACAGCACCACTGACAAGTGTGCAAACTGAGGCTCAGAAAGGTTAAGTAACTTGCCTAAGATAACATAGGCAGTAATTGGCAGAGCCATGTTTCACATCTAGGTCTTTATGATACTGCAGCCGGGATACTTAACCATTAAGCTGTGCTGCATGTACGTACACTCCCTCATTGTCATGCATTTACTAAAACATGTCACGGAAGCTGGAGTGTCAGCTTGTGGTTCTGCCTCATCTAATGTTTAGCCCTGAGTCAAACTAGCAAAACAAAAGTTGTCTTGACACACAGAAAAAAACAATCTTTGATGGTTACAAGGGAGGGGAGGGGAAATCACTAACTAGATAGTAGAAAAGTGTCAACTTTAGTGAAGGGAAAGACAACACACAATATAGAAGTCAGCACAACTTGACCAAGGAAAAGTCATTGAAGCTTCTTAGACACATCCAAATACCTTGAGGGACCAAGTTGCTGAGGCTAAGGGCTGAGGACCATAGTCTTGGGGTACATCTAAGTCAATTGGCGTAGCATAGTTCATAAAGAAAATGTTCTACATCCTACTTTGGTGAGAAGCATCTGAGGCCTTAAAAGCTTGTGAGCAGCCATCTAAGATACATCTGTTGGTCCCATCCCGTCCAGAGCAAAGGAGAATGAAGAACATCAAAGACACATGGAAAATATTAGCCCAAAGGACTGAAGGACCACATGAACCACAGACTCCACCAGCCTGAGCCCAGAAGAACTAGATGGTTCCTGGCTACCACCACAGATAGCTCTGACAGGGATCACAGTAGAGGGTCCCGGACAGAGCTGGAGAAAAAATGTAGAACAAAATTCTAACTCACAAAAAAAGACCAGACTTACCGGCCTGACAGAGACTGGAGAAACCTTGAGAATATGGCCCCCAGACACCCTTTTGGCTCAGTAATGAAGTCACTCCCAAAGTCCATTTTTCAGGCAAAGGTTAGACAGTCCTATAAAACAAACAATAACACACGTGAAGAACGTGCTTCTTAGTTCAATCAAATACATGAGACCAAATGAGTAACTCCTGCCCAAAAGCAAGATGAGAAGGCAGGAAGGGACAGGAAAACTGGACAAATGGACACAGGGAACCTGGGGTGGAAAGGGAGAGAGTGCTGTCACATTGCGAGGATTGCAACCAATGTCACAAAACAATTTGTGTATAATTTTTTTTTTCATTTCTGTGACTTTTTTAAATTGTGCTTTAGGTGAAAGTTTACAGAGCAAGTTAGTTTCTTGTTAAGCAATTAATACACAAATACGTCAACATTCTCCCATTCTTGACCTCAGGTTCCCCATTTCCGGTCATCCAGTTTTCCTGTCCCTTCTGCCTTCTCTTCTTTGCTTTGAGCTAGTTTGCCCATTTAGTCTCGTATACATGGTTGAACTATGTGTGTTATTGTTTTATAGGCCTGTCTAATCTTTGGCCGAAGGGTGAACTTCAGGAATGACTTCAGTACCAAGTTAAAAGCGTGTCTGGGGGCCGTACTCTCAGGGTTTCTCCAGTCTCTGTCAGACCAGTAAGTCTGGTCTTTTTCTGTGAGTTTGAATTTTGTTCTGCGCTTTTCTCCAACTCTGTCCGGGACCCTCTATTGTGCTCCCTGTTAGAGCAGTCGGTGGTGATAGCCGGGTACCATCTGATTGTTCTGGGCTCAGGCTGGTGGAGGCTGTGGTAGTTGTGGTCCTTTAGTCCTTTGGACTAATCTTTCCCTTGTGTCTTTGATTTTCTTCATTCTCCTTTGCTCTGGACAGGATAGGACCAGTAGATGTATCCTAGATGGCCATTCACAAGCTTTTAAGACCCCAGATGCTACTCAGACCACAGTAGGATGTAGAACATTGTTTTAATGAACTCTGTTGTGCCAGTTGACCTAGATGTCCCCCAAGACCATGATCCTCAGCCCTCGGCCCAGCAGCTAGGTTCCTCAGGGTGTCTGAATGTGTCTATGAAGCTTCTATGACTTTGCCTTGGTCGCATTGTGCTGACTTCCCTAGTATTGTGTACTGCCTTCCCCTTCACCAAAGCTACCACTTATCTGTTGTCTAGTTAGTGTTTTTTCCTCCCTACTCTTCCCCTCCCTTGTAACCATCGAAGATTGTTTCATTCTGTGTGTAAACCTTTTCTTGAGTTTTTATAATAGTGGTCTCATATAGAATTTATCCTTTTGTTATTGACTTATTTCACTCAGTGTAATGCCCTCCAGGTTCATCCATGTTTCTGTGTGTAAATTTTTGAATGAGAAACTAACTTGCACTGTAAACTTTCACCTAAAGCACAATATTATTTTTTTTTAAACTAAAGCTAAAGAAAAAAAATTGTCTTGACTTGATGTTATGATTTAAGAAACATGTCTTTCGGAAAATCTAAAATAGAATTGAAAACAGACAACATGAAAGTAATGACTAATTAGCATAGTGTCTGGCACTGAGTAGATGTTTGAAAAATACTCTTTAAATGAATTAATGATAGTGTCCTCCATCCTCTGGACAATAGAGAATATTTCCATGGTGACAACCAACTGGAAAAAACCGAACCCACTGCCGTCGAGTTGTTTTCTGACTCCTAGCGATCCTAGAGGACAAAGTAGAACAGCCCCATAGGGTTTCTAAGGATCTGCTGGTGGATTCGAACTGCCGACCTTTTGGTTAGCAGCCGAGCTCTTAACCACTGTACCACTAGGGCTCCATGGTGACAACAGCAAATTTGAAAATAAGCACTCATGTCAAAGAGGGACTAAGCTACGAAATTGATAGTTTCTCTAGTAATTATTACATTATCTAAATTTGTAAATTGAGAGCAGTTTTGAATGTCAGACCTATCTTTAAAATAGGAAAATACCAGAACTAGATCATTTGTAAAATTGGCAATTTAAAAATTCTTTATCTGTGTATGATTTGTATTGTCTCTGCCCTTATGTAGATTTATTTCCAATAAAGCAAAAATATTTACAAAACATTTTGTATATAAAGGAACAAAGGGATGAATAAAAATGACTTGTCACATCTATTTAATATATTATTTAGAGTAAAATACGAGAGGTGGGCATGGTTTATAGTCCATTGTTAATACTGGTAAATAATCTAACTCCTACTCTAGATCAAATAGATAACTTTCTAAGTGGACTAAGTACATTCCAAATACAATAATCTCTTTATACAGTTTTTAATGTGACAACTATATGTCGATTGTCTACTGTATAACAGACACTGTGCTAGAAGCTGGGTTTCTTGGTAATATTTTTCAGGCAAATTTGACTCTTGGAATTTGCATTTTTAAATACTAATTTAGTTGGTGTATAGGGTCGCTATGAGTCAGAATTGAGTCAACAGCAACGGGTTTGGGTTTTTTTGGTTTTAGTCACAGAACTGTCTGTGAAATAGAAGAACCATAAAAATATTTGTACTTTATATATCTAT